TCTCTCTCTCTCTCTCTCTCTCTCTCTCTCTCTCTCTCTCTCTATCTATCTATCTATCTATCTATCTATCTATCTTTAGACTTACAGCCATAGCACTTCAGTTGCTCGTTCTTTCTCCTCCCCTGTGCCACGTATGCAACCACACTCAGTTGCAGCTCAAGTCTTTGAAGGATGGTCATTCCAGTATCACCACAAAAGATATATATATATCTCCAAAGCATGACAGCTAATGGTTGCAACAGAGGGCGCCACCAGACAGCAGCCGGGACCAAATGGAGATGGCCATGGGTGTGCGAGGGGAGGGGGGAGGGGAGGATGGTCTACTTAGCTCTTGACTTCAGGCTTAAAAAACTCAGAGTTAAGAAAGGAAAAGCCTTCAAATTCTGATTGGTCAATGTTCCTGATGACTTCTTGGTCAGGTGGAGTTAAGACAGGTGGATGGCGGGTGAAAAACCGGTCGAAGTTTTCAGCATTGCGTCCGCACTATGAAAGGGGAAGAAAAGAACTCATGGCAGGTGGCGAAAGGAACAAAGGGGGGGGGGGAATGCAAAAAAGTTGGATGCAGCTTGTTATGTCCCCCTTGCAGCCCCACCCAACCGCCACCCCACAATCCAGGCTGCAGGCAAGTCATGAGCAAAATGAGAGAACCAAAAAGAATCAATGCAAAATCCTGATGGCCCCAGTGTGGCAGCAGGGAGCAGCCCAGAGTCACGGAATGATATGCTGGGAAGCGGGAGACTCTCGGCTGGCCTTGGCAAGTAATTGCAGGAGGGGAATGGATGGTGAGGCAATTACTTGCAAGGCTCTGCCAGGCACATGCAAGGCTGCTACATGCAGAGCTTCTCTGGCTGCTCAGAAAACAAATCAAGGCTGCCTTGGATGTCTCTCCAACGCTGGTGCCCGGTTCGCTAGGGCTTCCCATACACAGGACCCCTAGAGAGTTTCAGCCAGGTTCACACGGGATGCTGGGCATGGAGCACCAGGGGTGGGTTTTCTCCTCTCTTATCTGCATGCAAGCCAACCACCCCTCGGTGAACAGGAGGACCTTTTGACATTGGCATAAAAAGCATAAAGAAATTGAGCAGACAATTTTTCTGGAATGAAAAATTCTGCAGCCATTTCTTCAGGGAAAGGCAGCATCGCACCCGTGCTGAATTTGGTGGCTGGGTGGGAGAAGGGCCATCCTGATGTCTTTCTTTGGGATTTAATGGAGTTAAGGCATCAGATTAGAAACCGGGAGGTGGGGAGTTCTAGTCCCACCTTGGGCGCAAAGCCAGGCGAGTGACCTTGGGCCAGTCCCTTTCTCTCGGCCGTAGGAAGGAGGCTCTGGCAAAGCACTTCTGAAAAACCTTGCCAAGAAAACTGCAGGGACTTGTCCAGGCAGCCTCCGAAAATCAGACGTGATTTAAGGGAAGAAAAAAAATATTAGAGGCTAAAACGTCTGTTAGGAAAAAATTGCACAGAGAAGACGAGTGTGTTGATACCCATTTCTTTTCTCTTATCATTAGTAAGAGCAAGAGTTTCTCTGAAACCCCCCCCTCCATTTGCTTTGAAAGACACTTTCTCTTTCCGTATCCTTCCGTTTCGGAGCCGCCCCAACTTCACAAGCTGTAAACACTTGTTGTCAATCATGAAAGCCTGGAGAACGTTGCAAATCCACCAAATGAGGGCCTGGGTCAGAGAACAAGATGCCAGAAGGAAGGAAATGCTTCCCTAGCAAACCAATACAGGTAAAGACTCCCTGATCCAGAATATCAGACATAATGTGAATTGGATTCCGGCTGAAACTTTTCCAGCACAACAAGATCCTAAAAACCTCCCAGTCGCTCTGGAAATGGGCTTTAGAATTCTGTGACCAGGCCAGGTCTGCATTCTAGTCCACAATACAAACTCAACATTACACTGCAAGTATGATTTTTAACAGATTTAACAGAGTTGGATCTTGTAGGTCATCTAGTCCACCCACCCACCCAAGCAGGAGACCCTACACCATTTCTGACAGATGTCAGTCCAGTCTCTTCAAGTCTGTCCCCTTTTGGGGGTCTGTTACAACTTTCTGGCAAGAGAACAAAAATCTAGGCGGCAGCAGCATTTTCACCTGGCAGCTTTGTAAAAGGATGGAGGAAATTCCCACCTAGGGTGATGACTGGTTTGAACCCAGAACCCTTCCGAGGAGAATTCAAGTGCAATCAGCCAGACACAATGAGGATATCAGCTCAAGCAGCCTTGATACCACATAACAAGCATAAAAAGGCATAAAAAGCATAGCAGCATAAAAAGAGCCTCCCAGTCCCTTCTTTTACTTGCTGGAGCAGACTGTGCAGCTTTTGACTTGGTTACCCATAGCTAGGATTCTGTAACCCACAATTCCAGTGGTCGGTCGCATTGCCCAGCCTCCAGATCACACCTTGGAAGCTGAGACTGGAAGCCACGAATGGAAGAGACAGAGCAGCACTTGAAGGGCTGTGCCGAGGAGGAAAGCTTGCCAGTCCTGCTGGCCTCACAGTGATGGGCCCTTCATTCCTGGCTGCTTTGATCAAAGCAGCTCCAGAGCTTCCCTTGCTTGGCGTGAGGTTTCCAAGGAAAAAAGTGCCGCTTCAAAGCTTCCCTCTTCCCTGCTCATGTACACAGCTTGAAAGCGGCTCTTCACTGACACTTTCCAAGCCCCCTTGATGGGTTTTTAGCTATCATTTGCTGAGACAAATGGATTTGCATCATCTGTAAACTGAAATCATCCAACTGAATCCACTAATTCAAAAGGGGTTTTTTCCTCCAAAAGGCAGCTGGACTCCCTTGGTTTTCTCTTTGAAAACATTTTACTCCTCATCCAAGGAGCTTCTTCGGTTCTCTTCAAGAAAAGAGAGGAGAAGCAAAACATTTTCAAAGACAAAACCAAGAAAGTCCAGTCGCCTTTTGGAAAAAGCACCTTTGGGACAGCTCTGACCTGAGAATTTCCATAGACATTCAAGCCTCACCTTTGCAAACTGTCCTACCTCTTCAGGCCCTTACAGTTGCTGATTGGAGAAAGGTGAGGTTGCCCTGAGCTTTTGGACCACAACTACGACATAAAAGTTCACACCCCACCTGATTCCAAGAAGAGGCCAATCACAGGAGAACACAGTCACTGCCACCAGTCAGCCTGCTTGCAATCGCCCAGCCAAACCCCATTCAGGGACTCCCTTCTGGAATCTCCTTTGAAGGCAGCAGCTCCAAGCACAACCAGGGCTCCAGTTGATAAGAAGGCAAACAAGAGGCATGGAAGGGGGCAGGGGGAGTGGCAGGAACAGAACCAAAAAAACCCCAACATTCTGCTCGCCCTCTCCTATTATGGTGATTTCTTACCATATTTTCTGGACAGTCTAATTTCCTTCCTTCCTTCCCTCCCCCCACTCTTCTCTCTCAGAAATAGAACATATTCAATAGAGAGAAGCAGATAACCTAAGGCAGTGTTTCTCAACCTTGACCACTTGAAGATGTCAGGACTTCAACTCCCAGAATTCCCCAGCCAGCATTCTCTTCAAGTGGCCAAGGTTGAGAAACACTGATCTAAGGCATCCTCTCTGAGTCCCATATTTCCATATTCAAATACAGCATTTTAGTGCACGTGATAATGAGCAGAGTCTGGTGTCCAGAGATGCTTCTTTGTCTTTCTTCAAGACACAGGATGGCAACTCCAGCAACAATAGAAGAGAATATTTGCAGTTCAGAGATGAACTTCAGGGTTCTTAGTGCTCTCTGAACTCAGTGGTTTGCTTGCAGACATTTCATTATCCATCTAAGTAACATCATCAGTGTGAGAAGGAAATGGGGTTGCCCCTCCATTTATTTACAACTGACTTATCCTGTTGGTGTTGATTAGTGTTCTCAGTGGTTTCTTGATAGGACTGTTGTTTACTGTTTGATTTTTTTTTTGTCTGAATGGGTTGTTACAACAAAGAGCAAACACCACTCCCCACTAGCCCTGCTGATGTTGCCTAGTTGGGTAATGAAACGTCTGAAAGAAAAGCATCAAGCTCACAGAGCACTAAGGATCCCACAGTCCTTTTCTTCTTTGTCCTCCTCCTCTCCTCCTGCCCCCCTGATCCCTTCTATCATGGATGATGTTACCTAGTTGGGTAATGAAACGTCTGCAAGAAAAGCACCAAGCTCCAAGAGCACCAAAGACCCCACAGTCCTCCTCCTCCTCCTCTGCTCTGTAACTCCCCCTCTGTTCTAGCACTGATGATGTTATCTAGTTGGGTAATGAAACGTCTGCCATAAAACCACCAAGCTCAGAGAGCACCAAGGATTCTACATCAAAGTTTCCTGGGTTTCCTTCTGGCGAGGGTTTTTGGCTTTTCCTTGACCCTGTTTTTAGCAGAAAAGCCTGGAAGGGGAACATCTGTGTGCACACACATCTTCTGTGCAACAGGAAGGCCTGCCTATTCAGATCATCTGCCAGAGAACATATAGGCCAGATGGTGCTGAGGCAAAACTGCCAGCCAAGGCATTCTTCCAACCACTACGTTCCTTCTGTTGGCCTCTCCATTGTGGGGTGACAAAAGAAGAAGGTTGTCAGAATTGCCAACAAAATACAGGGAAATTCTTTTGCACATTCTTTGGTCTTTCATTGTGCTCAGTGTTGCAGTGACCCAAAGGCCAGCGGGAAGCGGCTACGTTTGGCAAAGGAAGAAGAGTCCCGACACTTCCCCAGGTGCAGGAGGAGCCAAGCATCACACCTGCCCCATGTTTGGCCCTGAAAAACTCATCGCCCTGTTGAATTGGGCGTACTTGCCTTCTGAAGACAAATGCATGAAAAAGTCTTTAATTATTGACTATGTAAAATGATTTCCATTATAATGCAGCTCTCTATGCCTCCTTCTCTTGTTATTTTTAAACTGTACTTCTTTTAGCGTAGTCTTTGAAAAACGCTGCTCTTCTATGTGAAACAAAAGACACCCTGCTCAAAATGCCTTTCCACAGGAGTCCCAGAAAACACTCATCTCTCCTATCCTAGCCAGAGAGAAGGAACTGGCTCCTCTGTCTCTAGGACAGAGATGGCAAACCTTTTCTGCACCAACGGCCCAAATCAGAATGCACGGTGGTGTGCGCATGCATGCATGCCAGTGCTGGAAACCCAAAGACCAGCTGGACAGTGCGCATGCACCTGGTCTTTGGGTTTCTGGTACACATGCTGGTTTTTGCGCCTGCTGGAGCGCTGGAAACCCAAGCACCAGGTGGGTGACACATGCACGGGTGCAGGCCAGCTGGTCTTTGGGTTTCCAGCACTGCAGCACCTGCAAAGAGCAGCTGGTTGGTGTGCGAGTGCGGCTGGAAACCAGAAGAGCAGCTGGTGATGCCGTGCGTGCCCACAGAGAGGGGTCTGCGTGTCACCTCTGGCATACGTGCCATAGGTTCGCCATCATGGCTCTATGATGTGATCTCTAAGTCCATTATGACCAGTAGGACTGATAAGGGACTCACACTGCTTGCCTCCCTTTCTG